CTGGAGGCAGTGAACACATGTAGTCCACAGACAAGCAGGCACACACACATATACATAAATAGAATCAATTAATTTAAAAACCAGCACACCAAAGATGACATTTGAGGCTGGGGGTATAGCTCAGATATAGAACACTTGCATAGCGTGCACAGGCCCCCAGCTTCCATTCCCTGTACCCCAAGAAAGAGACACTTAAAGAAAACTGTGCACTGTGCAGCAGCTGCTTTTCATCCCACCATTCTTTAAACATATCCATATTCATGAGAGGACACCATCAAGTTTGTCTGAAAGTTAAATTACTGTCAAAACAGGGTATTTTTTCCCCTGCCACTTAACATGGTGATCTGACTCCCAGTCCCCTGCATCTCCATACAGTCCAAAGGCTTCTGGGTGAGAAATAATCTATTAACTTCCCATCAAGGGCTGGGCTGGGTGCCAGCTCCCTTTCTGACAGGGAAATCTGTGGGAGCAGATTCATGACCTACTTTGATGTGGCCAGAGAAAGAAGGCTCAACCTTGTTGGAAATTCAAATCTGTCTTTCCTGTGGAGAGGACGTCGATGCTGCCCTGGTGCAGTGGTACCCACCCACTTTGTTATCCTGAATAGTTCTCAGCATCTTATTGCAGAGAGAGAGAGAGAAAGAGAGAAAGAGAGAGAGAGAGAGAGAGAGAGAGAGAGGAAAGAAAGAAAGAAAGAAAGAAAGAAAGAAAGAAAGAAAGAAAGAAAGAAAGAAAGAAAGATCGAAAAAAGGACTTTGGGGGTGGGAATCAGAAGAAGGGTACTTGCCTGGAATGTGCAAGCTCCTGGGCACTATCCCAACAAAATCTAAAAAAAAATTAGTTGGATTTTCCCCCCTCGGGAAAGATGGGGTGGCGGGAGGAAGGATGAGGAAAAGAAGAGACATGAGAGTAGGGGGAGACTAATTGCAGAGAAGTGGGGTGGGCAGGAGTCTCCAGGACACCCACATATATGTGGCACACACTCCCACAGACATACACGTGCACATGTAAATAAAAATAAATCTTAATTATTTTAATTTTATGTGTGTGGGCATTTTTCTTGCATGTATGTATGGGCTCATGTGCCCATAGAGGGCAGAAGATGGCACTGGATCCCCTGGAACTGAAGTTACAGACAGTTGTGAGCTGCCATGAGGGTGCTGGGAATCAAACCCATGTCCTCTGGAAAAGCAACCAGTGCTCTTAAACACTGAGCCAGCTGTCCAGTCCAATAAAAACAAATCTTTAAAAAACTGAAGCCTTGCCAGGCGGTGGTGGCGCATGCCTTTAAGCCCAGCACTCGGGTGCAAAGGCAGGCGGATCTCTGTGAGTTCGAGGCCAGCCTGGTCTACAGAGTGAGTTACAGGAAAGGCATCAAAGCTACACAGAGAAACCCTGTCTCAAAAAAAAAAAAAAATTGAAGCCTTTTTGTGTTTTTCCCGTGTTCCTTCTGTCAGCAAAGAAAACATGAATTATCATCCATCCCTTGGAAGCATGTAGCATAATCTGCATATCTATCCACCCTGAGCTCTGAATCTTTTGATGTGGCACCGGGAGACTCTAGCCCAGGATGACCTTGAGTTCCTTCCTCATCTGCCTACCCCCTTCTCCCCAGTGCTGGGACGACAGGCAAAGGCCAGGTTTGGGGACAGGGGTTGTGTTTGTTTGTTTGTTTGTTTGTTTGTTTGAGACAGGGTCTTACTGGCTCAGAGCTCTCTATGTAGAATAAGGCTGGCCTCAATTCACCTGCCTCAGCCTTCTGAGTTCTGGGATCAAAGGTGTGTGTTACCCACCAGGCAAACAGGGTGGGTTTTTGTTTGTTTGCTTGCTTGCTTTTATTATTATAGTCATTCGTGTGTGTGTGTGTGTGTGTGTGTGTGTGTGTGTGTGTGTGTGTGTGTGTGCGCGTGCGCGCAGTTGTCTTCACACAGAGTAGGTGTGAGAGTAGAAGACAACTTTCCTAGTCATTCTGGAATCTCCGTCCACCTTGTAGATCTCAGGGCTCAAACTCAGGTCATCGGGCTCGGAAGCTCGACCCTTTCCCCTCTAAGGCGCCAGGCAGTCTCACCCGCCTACCTCATCAGGTTTTATGCACGGCTAGGGATGGAACCCAGGCTTCATGTTAAGCAAGCATTCTACCGAGCTGCATCTCCACCTCAGATTTTTGTTTGACCTGATTTTAGCCAGCCTGAGATCCCAAGACAGGCACAGCAGGCAGGATAATATGGTCTCACTTGCTGGGCCTGTGTGGGGAACCGGAGAGTAAAAGCTAATTCTGAAAAATAAAAAACATTTCCAAGGTCAGACACTTCAGAACACGGTGCTCTATACAGCCACACGTGGGCGCTCTTGCTCCTTAACGTGGTGTTTTTGTTTTTGTTTTTGTTTTTGTTTTTTTAAATTATATGTATTTTTGTGTGAGTGCTGGTGCCTATGGAGATCAGAAGATGTTAGACCTGGAGCTGGAGTTACAGGCAGCTCTCACCTACGTGGGTGCTAGCAATTGAACTTGGATCCTCTGAGAGAGCAGTACACACTTCAACTCTGGTGTTTTTAGGCTTTATTCAGATGTCCTTGGAAGTTTAAATCTACACTGTGGCTTCATCAAGGAGCATGATTCAAAAGTTTGGTTTTGTTCTCGGGACCTCAAACTGGATTCTCCAGAGTGTCCACAACGCCCTTGACTGCCTTGAGACAGTCTGGTCAGAGCGATAAGTAGGTTCATTATTCAGGCGGCTCCCCTCCTCCCAGCACCCTGATGATGTTCTGTCCAGATTTACCCCAAGTCTTTCAGCAGCTCAGCCATTCTCTTCTGGTATCAACAGCTCTTTCCTCTCCCTAAGTAGCTTCTGTCTCCTCAATGAATTCTGGTTCATCCCAATGCACTCCAGGTCTATTGAAGCTGCAGATTCCTAGTGGGCTGGGAGGATTGTCAGGGAAAGATAAACCCCAGCTGTACACAGCAGGGGACATTGAGTGGCCTCCAGGCCAGACCGTGGGGGCCTTTCTCCCCCAGGACTGAAAATCACCTACTGCCCAGGCTGGAGCAGCAGTTGATTCAGGGAACAGCGGCTAGCTGCCTTGAGCTTGGCTCTGGGTGGATGGAGAGACAAGCAAAGGTGGGGGGGGGGGCCCTCTACTCTCTGCTGTCCCCATGGCCACCTGCATATCCCTTGTGACTAGGACCACCGGGTCTTGCTTCCTCAGAGAAGCCCTTTCTCACTACCTTTGAACACCGGACCATCGTCCCTATCACTCATGCTGTTGGCTTCATCTTTTGGAGAGGGTGGGAGAGTCACGCCGAATGTTCTGGGTTTTTGCAGTTGGCCAGCTCCAGGAGGCAGAGGAAAAGAAAAGGACTGTTGGGGCTGGGGGTGCGAATGTCCTCTAGAGCATCTGAGCAGTACAGGTGCAGGGGAACCCCCAGTTTCTTCAAGCCCACCCCCAAGCAACTCTGACTAAATAGCCCAATACAATGCTTTATGAGCTTCTGGTTCAATAGATCAGGAGCGGGGACACATGCCTGTCATCCCAGCAGATGGGCTGAATGAACAGGAGGGTCAAGTGTTTGAGGTCACCTGCAGTTTGAGCCTAGCCTGGCCTCCACAAAACCCTGTCTCAAAACAAAAGCCATAAAACTCAGCAGCTTCTTAACGCAAGCCCTCGATCTTCTATGGGCACAGAGGGAATTCAGCGAGAGAATCCCAGTAGAATCCAAAGGACAGCATGGGGGAAGCAGGCAGGAATTACCTGAGGGATGTTCCTCACCCTTTGCAGAAGTGAGAGGAGGGCCAGGACCTGCAAGTCCCAGGCATCTTCCACAGTCCTCCATCTGAAACCATAATGAAATCTCAGAAAGCATGCCTCATACCCTGCATCCGTGGTCCCACTGAATCTTCACAACAGCCGACTGAGGTTAGTGCTGGACTTTATCCCCATTTTATGGAAGAGAAAACCAAGGTCTGAGTAGACTGAGTAACTTGGCCCAAGTTACACAGTAAGAAGAGAGCTAAGGCTGACACTCACTGTGAGCATCCTTCTCTCTTTTTTTTTTTTTTAAGATTTATTTATTTGTTCTGTATACAGCTTTCTGCCTGCTTATACGCCTGCAGGTCAGAAGAGGGCACCAGAACTCATTATAGATGGTTGTGAGCCACCATGTGGTTGCTGGCAATTGAACTCAGGACCTCTGGAAGAGCAGCCAGTGCTCTTAACCTCTGAGCCATCTCTCCAGTCCCTCACTGTGAGCGTTCTAAGAGTCTTTGTTCTTGTCACAGTGCGGGTTCTAGGAGAGGACGATAAGCCCAGAGGACCAGTACAGGCAGATGACATCATTCATTCATTCACTCTTTTCACTCACTCACTTATTCATTCATTCATTCATTCATTCATTCATTCATCCCGTGTTCCACTTCTGTCAGTTCTCTGTGCCCTTACCTGGGTACAGCCTGGATACAAATACACACTCCTGAGGCACAAGGTCCCTTTCCAGGTTATCTCTGAGGTAGGAAATGGACCCATCTTCAAGTTCCCACACCAGACTCCCCCATAAGGAACAAACAAATTACTCTTAGTGACTCTATAACTACCCTGCAAGTACCTGCTGGGAGACAGGTGCCCAACAAGCACTGTGGGGTTGCAGAGGCCTTTGAGGAGCTCTATCCATCCACTCTTCCATCCACCCATCCACCTGCCCACCCACCCATCCATCCATCCGCTCACCCATCTATCCACTCATCCACCAACCTACGCATTCACCCACCCATCTATCTATCCACCCATCCATCCACCCACCCATCCACCTACCCACCCATTTATTTATCCCTCCACTCACCCATCCATCTACCCACCTATCCATCCACCCACCCACCCATCCACCTACCTACCCATCTACCCATCCATCCATCCATCCATCCATCCATCCATCCATCCATCCACTCACCCATGCACCGTCCCATCCACCCCCCAAAACCCAGATAGATAGATAGATAGATAGATAGATAGATAGATAGATATCTCCACCCGTCCATTCATTCACCCAACAGCAGTTTCCCAACAGAGAAGAAGACCAGATAAGCATTCAGGATGATAGGAAAAATTAGGACAAGAGCCCAGAGCTGGAGTCATCGTGGGGTCAGAGCTGGAGAGGGTACTTGGTGGGAGCTGCAGAACACTCAGGGTTAAGGGCCCCTCCCAGTGTCTGTAGAAGGAGGTCGCCAGACACCACCATGACTTCTGGCTTGTATCAGTTACTTTTATCACTTCTGTGACCTCGCAGTTACCTGGCGGATGCCTATTTATAATAAAGCAGAAGTTGAAGTTTATTAAGGTGAAGACAGTATTCTTCTATTATTGTATTTATGTCTACATTAGGATTTCGCTCTTGTCCAGGATAACTTTTTGTCATTGTTGTTTTGTTTTGTTGTTATTTTTGAGACAGGTCTCTTCATATAGCACTGGCTGGCCTGGAATTTGCTATGTAAGCCAGGCTAGCTTCTAACTCACAGTGATCCATTGGCCTCTACCTCCTGAGTCATTGCTAGCATTAAAAGCATGTGCCACCACACACAGGTAAGATAACCTTAAAACAAATATTTTAGGTGAATGAGAGTTTGGTCTGCGTGTATGTGTACCATATGTGTGCCTGTGCCCTAAGAAGCCAGAAGAGGGCATCAGATCTCCTGAAAATGGAATTACAGGTGGTTGGGAGCTACCATGTGGATGGTGGGTGTTGAACCCAGGTCCTCTGCAAGAGCAGCAAGTGTTCTCCTTTTGCTTGTTTGTTTTGTTTTGATTTTTCAAGACAGGATTTCTCTGTCGCCTTGGCTGTCCAGAACCCACTCTGGTAGCAAGTGTTCTTGACTGCTGAGTGCTGAGCCATCTCTCCAGTCTTGTCCAGGATGGTTCGGAACTGCTTAGCACTTGTTGAATAACAGCCCGGGCTGGTGGTTTTGTGTGTGTGTGTGTGTGTGTGTGTGTGTGTGTGTGTGTGTGTGTGTGTGGTGTGTCTAGTACTCATGTGGAAGTTAGAGGACAAATTTCAGGCTTCTAGGGATCGAACTCAAGTCATCAGTCTTGGCAGCAAGCGTCTTTACCTGCTGAGCCAACTTGACAGTCCTCTTTTTTGTATGTATGGTGTTGTTTGAGATGTTTCGCTTTGTTTTTTTTTGAGACAGCGTGTCACTCTGTAGCTTAGGCTGGCCTAGAATTCATGGCAATCATCATTCTTCATCGTCCCCAAAGCTGGGATTACAAGCTTGCACCCCACAGCCGGTGAAGCGCAGGTTTCACACCCCGCTGACCTGTCCGTGGGCAGGGCTGCTCCATATTGGCCTTTCCTTGGATGAGGAACGGGGAGGGGATCACAAAGAACTGAAGAGGTTAATGCCATGTTGGACAGATGACAAGGAGCTTTGTCCCTCTCCCTCTGGCCCCCCCTTCCCACTGTCACACTTGTTCCCCCAGTAAGCAATCGGTCACTTTAGAAGACATGGGATTAGCTAAAGAATTAGCTCTTAAGGGGACCCATCAAAATGACAGGCTGGCCTCGGTGTCGACACAGAGTCAATGAGAGAATAAATCCCTGGGAAACCAAATAACCTGAACCCATAGTCTCGTTGGGAGCAGGTGGTGGACAAGGACAGATGAAGGACATCCCTTCCTACTTCCCTGGGTCTTAAGCTCTTTTTGTGAAGAAAATCTGTCCAAGTAATTAACAGAAGTAATTAGGGGTCAGATGGTCACAAATGAAAATCACTCAGCACGGTCACGATGCCGAGGCTGTTTGTGCCAGGCAGACGGGGCTGGCCTAATGTGTCCTAGCAGTGTGACCCAGGACCTTGTTGTCCCTGCTTTGAAGGGAAGGGCCCTGGTGAAGTCTGAAATCACATCCCTAATCATCAGTCTGAGCTACAGTAGAGATGGGCAAGTTCTCAGGACAGGGGCACTCACACAGCTCCTAACCTCGCGGCAGTCCTGAGCTCGGTCCTTGGTCTTCTGCAAGGCAAAGAGGGCTTTTCCTTTCACGTGCACAGCACTGGTCTTCTTGGCTGATTCCTCACAGGGTATGGGTAGCTTTCAAATCCTTGAAAAAGAAAGGAAATTTGTTGGTCATCTGCCTGTTCAGTCACATATCGCCCATTCACCCACCTGTCCATTCATCCCATCCACCTACCCACAATCTTCTATCTACAATCTACTCTCCTATTCACCCACTCAGCTATCTAGTCATCATGCATGAGCAGCCTACCAATTTCCCACTCACCCATGTATTCCCCCAGTATCCTCCCGTCTACCTATCCGTCCACCTGGATGGACGTGTACTCACCCATGTATTCGCTCATCCTTTGGTCCTTCCATCCACCTGGCCACATACCTGCTTATCTATTCACCCAACCATGTGACAACCACCCATTTATCTATCCTTTCACCTACTCATCCATCCATATAAAACACCTTCCCATTCACCCACCCACCCATTTTCATGAATCAATGTGCAATCCACCCCTCTACCCATACTTCATCCGTCTACTCACTCACCCACCCATCTATCAGTCCTCCGTCCATTGACTTTACAAATATTTATTAGGATCATGCCAAGTTCAAGGCAGGTCTGCCCTGGGCATGTATAGTGAGAAGAATAATCATGGACTTTATTCCTGCAGTTTATGATACAGTCCAGAAGAACTGCACAAGCAGGTACATCCCAGCTGACAACCATGAGTGCAACCTAGAGAACCAAATAGGTTGCATAAGAGGGGATTAGAGTTCTTCAGAGAAACCAGACATGCACACATACTTACATACACATACATATATATGCACATGCATATGTATATGTATGACGATATATCAAGGGGGTTTCCTAAGGGAAATGACTCACTCAATTATGGATGCTAAGTCCCACCATTTATTATCTAAAAACCGGAGTTCCAGAGAAGCCGATGTCTTCATCCATGTCCAAAGACCTGAAACTCAGGAGCCAACAGTGCGAGTCAAAGGAGTCCGAAGGCTGGAGAACACTATGTTCAAGGGTAGAAGATGAGATCCACAGCTCCAAAAGGCAAAGAATGGACCCATCTTGTCTCTGTCCTTTTGTTTTCTTTGGACCCTCAGCGATGTGCTGGACTTGTCCACACTGCAGGTGGGTGATCATGCACTGACTCTGCCCAGGTACCCATCTTAGACACACCCAGATAGGATACTTTATCAGATACTTGGGTATCCTTTTGCCTGGGCAAGTTGACACCCAAGTGAGTCATCCACAGAGGGTGGCAAGTCAGGGTTTTCCCGGGCTGAGCAGGGCAGGAGAGGCCTCTCTAATATGGTAACATTGAGGTGAGACCTGGATGCTGAGAGGGAACAATGATCTAGGGACAGAGGAGACAGAGCAGACTCAGGCAGAAGCCTCCCACCCACTGCTGGGACAAGTTGGGGCTGTGCAAGGAACCTGAGGAGGTAGAGCGTCGAAGGGTGTGAGTGACTAGAGAGACGAAGGAGGTGGGGCAAGTCTGAGACCCCAGTTGTACAGGACTCTCCTCTGAACTAAACTGCTGCCATCTTCAGGAGTTCTGCTGGACCCAGTCGCAAAAGAAAATCACAGCTGGGCTTTGCTGACTATTGACATTTTCTCACAGAAGGAGCAGGCAGGGAGGGTTCTGGGATGCTCACTTGAGTCTCCATCCACCCTCGAAACCAGTTATATGCTCTGATTCTGTTCTTATTGAACATGACCTCAAGGTCTCGGCAGAGGATGTAGGTGGGGAGGGATGAGGGGCAGAACTCTAGCTACACAACTATGGGGAAGCCATCAGCCCCGCGGGGTGCAGACTTGCAGTGTGGCTGCTTTAAGGCCACCCACGCTCCCACCAGTAACCCCTCATCCATCGCTCTGTAAAGAAGCCTTCTGAACTCTTTGGTTCACCTGGGTGAGCTTTGTACCTCCTACCTCAGTTTATCGTTGGTGGATGTTGTTTACTTATCTCTCAGGGAAGGGAACCTTCCCTTAGAGAAGCATCACAGCTTAAGGACCAGCAGGATGTGCCCTAGACACCAAAGAGGAGACCATTACATTGTTCCTAAATGCAACAAAGCCCTTTCCTGCTCACTCTCCCCAGTTAAAGGCTCACTGATATCTGTGATGTACAAACAGGAATTCAAGCAACACCTAACGACTATCAACTTCACTTGGCCTATTTGGTCTACTCAGCAGAAGTCTACCTGCTTCAAGGGTCAGAGCCAACTAAGGTGCTGAGGTTGCCTTGGAAACCAGATAGATGCTGCTTACTTATGTATCTACCCAGCCCCTGTGAGAAGTCAGCCCCTCTGCATAAGCCCATAAAGCTGGAAGGCAGATGGGAGATTGAGAGTTTTACCAAGGTGTCAAGAGTTGCACCGAGGGTGGAGAAGTATAGCGAGAGACTAGAAGAAACGGAAGGGGAAAGGGAGGTTAGGAAGAGAGAAGGGAAAGTGGGATTCAGCTTGAAGCCACCCAATCAGAAGCGTTCTGGGAGGTGGTGGTTAGTTTCATGTGTCCAGTTGACTGGGCTACAAGGTGCTCAGATATTTGCTTAGTTCTAAGTGTGTCTATTGCAGCCATTTCTGGACAAAATCAACACTTGAAGAGAGTGAATGAACAACACGATGTGAGTATCATCTAACCCGTTCAGGGCCCGAGTAAATCACAAAGGCAGCCGAAGAGAAATTCACTCTCCCTGACTGCTGAACTGGGTCTTCTACTGCCCTGGCCTTGAGCTGCAGCATCAATTCTCCTGTCTCCACCTTGCCAACTGCAGAGCTAGGTGGTACTTCTATGTGAGCCAGTTCATCTCTTGATACGGCTCCTCTTGTACACCATGTTTCTCCGGAGAACCTGATGCATGCAACATCCAGCCACTCTAGAATGCCGCCTATGAGCTACTCTCTGTCCTGGGACTTCATTTATTTCCTTCTTTCTTTACTTTATTTCCTTGTTTGAGTTTTCTACTGCTTCCCAGGGATAGTTTTGTTTCCTTGTATTAAAAAAAAAAAAAGCTACCTTTCTAATGTGATGTGCATATGTGGTCCAGAGCAAACCAGAACCCGGCACTCAGAAATTGCTCAGTAATGATCATGGAAGCAAAAAAATTTTTCTTTCTTTCTTTATTTGTATGTGGTGTGCTAATGTGTACCATGTGTATGTAGGAGCCCCTGGAGGCCAGAAGCGGGTGTTGGATCCCCTAGAACTGGAATTACAGGTGGTTGTGAGGTGTTCTGTGGGTGCTGGGAACCAAAGCAGGGTTCTCTGCAGGAGAAACAAATAATCTGAACTGCTGGGCCATCTCTCCAACCCCTAACTTTTTGTCTTTTTGAGACAGGCTCCCATGAAGCCCAGACTGTCCGTAAACTCCTGACCCTCCTGCCTCTACCTTCCCAGTGCTGGGATTATAAGAGTGACCACCACACCTGGCTTTCATGGTATACATTATAAACAATGCACTAATGGTTCCTTAAAATACCCTGGCAGTTGCTCGTGAGCTTCTGGTCCAGGTCTTGGGCCCCAGCCCCACTCAGTGTTGCCAGGGTAAGTCATCTTGCATTAGCCCACTGGGGCTCATGACATGTTTGCTTCATACTTCCTCACCTCAGAAAACACTGTCTGTCACAGCCTATGTTCCAAAGAAATGTCATGCACACCCTGAGGCCACTTATGCCACCGACGGAGGTTGTTCAGAGGCCAAGTCCCCATGTTAGGTCTTTGGTCATTTGTTTTATTTGTGAGACAGAATCTCATTTGCACTATGTAGCCTGGTCTAGCCTGAAACTTGAGGCAATCCTCCTGCCTTCACCTCCTGAGTGCTGGCTAGGATTACACACATGTGTCAGCATGCCAACTGTTGTGTTTTTTGTTTTGTTTTTGTTTTTTAAGACAGGGTTTCACTATGTACTGTGTGTGCCCACTGGCTGGCCTGGAACTCTCTATGGGGCTTATAGAAAGAACCCTATCTGCTTCCTTAGACTCAGAGTTTTGCCTGTTTCTGCCTCCTGAGTGCTGGAATTAAAGGTATGTGGCATCACATCTATTTTTGTTGTTGTTTTCTTTTGTTTAATGGACGCTTTTTTGGTCCAATGCAACCTGCTTATTGACCTCCTGGTTTCTGGGAGAGTTTCCCAAAACTTCTTCAGCTGACAAATCTAATACCATACCAACACAGAAGATGACTCAGCTATTCTGGAGGGGGACACCCTGCTGGTACTACCGAGGAAAGAATGAGAGGGGAAAGTGGCCATCACAACTTGACACAATGATTGTCTGTCCTCTGCCAGTCATTACCTCTTAGGATAAGGATTGGAGTCCAGGTGACGCTAACAGACCTTTTCCCAGTCTATTTACCAGCAGACTACCAGCACCTTTGACGAAGTCCAAGCTTTTGTTTTTGGTAACACTTCATCTAAATACGGTGTCTCCTTGAGCTGCTATCACCAAAAAAGGAAAAAAAACACAGACATGATGGTTTATAAATAACAAACATTTATTTCTCACAGTTCTGGAGGCTAGAAGTTGGAGGCTGGTGTACCAACACGGCTGAGTTCCTGTGAGAGACCACTTCCCGGTTCACAGATCACTACTCTCTCCTCACTGGCTCCTCACCTGGAGAAGTAGAAGGAGCAGGGAGGTCTTCAGAGTTCTTATTCTAAGGGCACTAATTGCACTCAGAGTAAGTCCATTCTCATGACCGAGTCATATCCAAAGGGCCCTCTTCAAAACACCCTGAAGGAGTGGGTCCCTACAATATCCCCAGGAACTTCTTGTGAACCTCTGACTAGAGTATCTCAGCCCCCCCGCCCAGCTCAGTGTTGCTGGTCCAAGGTCATCTCACATCAACTCACATTCATCATATTGGGTATTGGGCATTAACACAGCAATGTAGGGGAGACATGGACATTGTCTATCGCATGTACATTTGCTTGTTCTTGGTCTAACATCCCAAAGCTGCTGGGACCTTTTAGAGAGGAAAAGAATTCCTGCTTCCATGGAGAATGAGCAGAACTTGAATCTCCACTGAGAACTCTGCTGTCTTTTAGGAGGAAGATGATTCATGGTCCATAGTGCAGCTTGTAATCAGAACGGCACGAACACCTCTGAGGTCAGAAGCTGTGAGCTCTCACTTCAGCTTGGGAAGGTTGTAAAGCTGTAAGCCATGAAGCCTGACTTGATTATCTTCACACACATGAATGCCCAAGCCTGGTAGTTGGGCTCTGCTCAGGAATGAATCTCTCCATCCTTCCTGCATCTCTACTCTGCTGATTCTATGCTCTGGGATCGGCTGTCAGCAGGTGCATCTAGGCAAGCGCCATCCCTTTCACTGCCTGGAGTGATGCGATGCTTCTGTCTTCAGCATCTCTGTCTCCCTTGGAGAGGTACCACTAGCTGGGCGTAGGAGAGCAAAGAGCAGGAGGAGGTGGCTCAGTCATCCTCGTCATCGTCCTCATCATCTGTGTCCTTGTTAGGGGTGCACCTCTGGAAACACTGTACCACAGTGGCCAGGAAGAAGCTGGAGATGATGGCGGCGATGGATACAGCCACCCCCGAGAAGATGATGATGAATAGGTCTGTGAGGGACAGGCTGAACTTACACTCACTAAAACTGGCTTCTGACAGCTCCCGCAGGGCCACCCTCCGGTCCTCCATGGGCAGTGAGCACTGGATGGCATCAAGGCCTGAGGAGAGACAGGTAGAATGAGAGAGGGTTAGGCTGCAGCCCGTGACCTCAGTACCTCACAGGAGGAATCCTCAGAATGCTTCCTTTGGTAACATAACTTCACAGATTCACATCTAGGCTTCGGAACCCAGGCATTCATCTCTGGAGACTTCCTTTTAACTGTGGGTAGATTTGTAAGGTGTACTTTCTCCAGGGAGAAAATGGGAGACATTATTGTGGCAGGAAGCTGAGCAACCATCAATCCTTGCTTACTTTTGGTGTCTTCAAATTCTCAGGAAAGCCTCTCTCGTTCTCTGTTTCAGAGTTTCCAAGCTGCAGAGAGCTTACCCTCAACCCTTTCCCAATATCATCTGAGGGTCAACTCTCTTTCTTCCAGCTTTGTTAATTAGCCCTCGTGTCCAGCAAAGAGCAATTGCACTCATAACCCAGTGTCCCCAAACCACCCTTGGGGTTCTTACTGGTGTGCCTCTTCTTCTCCAGCTCAGAAACAGAAAATGGAGCAAGATTATTTGAGCTTCCTCCCTCCCTCCCTCCCTCAGACCTGGCCCATCCCTTCCACGTAAACAGCTACCCCACCCATGCATTCCTCCATGGGAACAGTTGCCTAGCAACCATATTACACTCTCTCCTCTCCCTAAATCGATGTAGCTGCTTTAGAGACCCAATGATTCAGATGACCCAGAGCTCTTTGGGTTTTTTGTTTATTCGTTTTGTTTTAGGCAGGGTCTCACTATGTAGCCCTGGATGGCCTAGAAATCACTATGTAAATCAGACTGTATTCAAACTCACAGAGATCCACCTGCCTCTGCCTCCCAAGTTCTGGGATTAAAAGCATGTTTATAATATAATTACTGATACATTAATATATAAATTAATGGAATTGGCCGGGCGGTGGTGGCGCACGCCTTTAATCCTAGCACTTGGGAGGCAGAGGCAGGTGGATCTTTGTGAGTTCGAGGCCAGCCTGGTCTACAGAGTGAGATCCAGGACAGACACCAAAACTACAAGGAGAAACTCTGTCTCAAAAAACCAAAAAATAAAAAATAAAATAAAATAAAATAAATTAATGGAATTGACTTGCTATTCCTATATATACATATACTATACATTGATTCTGTCCACCCCACTGCCTCTAGTCACAGTGTGTGTGCGTGTGTGTGTGTGTGTGTGTGTGTGTGTGTGTTTACATGTGGTACCCTTGGAGGCCAGAGGCATTGGGTCATCTAGCACTGCTTGACATAGATTCTGGGAACAGAACTCAGGTCCTCTGAAAGAGTAAGCACTATGTGCTTTTAACTGCTGAGGCATCTCTCCAGCTCCTATTTGGTTAATTTTTGAGGCAGAGGTTCATTATATATTTGAGGTGGATCGGGAACTCACTATGTAAGCGCTGGCCTCAGCCTCCCAAGTGCTGGAATTACAGGAATGAGACACCGTGTCTGTCTTCACAATGGACTTTTTTACTCTTTTCTTTCTTTTACCCTCCCTCTTTCCCTCCCTCTCTGCTCTCTGTCCTTTCTTCCCTTTCACCTTTCATCTCTCTCTCTCTCTCTCTCTCTCTCTCTCTCTCTCTCTCTCTCTCTCTCCCTGTGCTGAGGATAGAAGAAGCCAGGCCCTTGCTCATCGCAGGCAAGCACAGTACCTTTGAGCTACATCACCCCAAGCCCTTGACTGTTTCTTAAGGAGCTAGAACTTGAGGGTTGGGATGTAGCTCAGTAGCAGAGCGCTTGCCTAATGTCACAGAGCACTGGTTTCTAGCCCAGTATGGCATGGTGCATGCCTATACTATTAAAACTTGCAGGAAGATTGGGCAGGCATGAGCTGCATGGAATCTTGTCTGAAAACAAAAACAAGGTAAAACATGCAACTGAAGAGAGAGCTCAGTGGTTAAGAGTACTTGCTGCTCTTCCAGAGGAATAAGTTAGGTTCCCAGCATGAGTGCCAGATAGCTCCCAACTGCTTGTAATTCCAGCTCCAGGGTATCTGATGCCCACTTCTGACCTCTTCATGCACACACACACACACACACACACACACACACACACACACTTGAAGATTAAAAAAATTAAGCATTCTTTAAAAAATAAATAAATAAAACTTCTCCCTACTTATTCAGAGCATTTGAAAAGCATTTGGGCCAATTAGAAAAGCTTCAAGATGTCCATAATGGGGCTTTTTTGCAGACATCTATTTCTTCAGTGCTAAAATCAGTCAGCTTGCCTCCTCTTGATAGCTATCCACTAGCCAAAGATACCCTGAAAACAAGAAAAAAGAGTCCTACCTGGGGCATGAACATGGGCTCTAACAGCCACGGGCAACATGCAGCCCTCAGGCTTGTAGCAGGTCACAGTTCAGCTAGTCAGTAGCTCAGCCATGCACACGCATTGCAAGCACCCCCGAGTCCATTCTCCTTCCAAGGCTGTGGCTCCTCGAGTCAATTCTGATTTCCACACTGCTCTTTGTGCCTGGAGATTAGCCTTGGCATTTTTACAAAGCGACGTTTTTAGAAAATGTCATTTCACATTTCTCTGTGGCTGGAAGAAAAGGGCTTATTTGGGAAAACACCATACGACCCACCAGGAGTGGAGGCTGGGTCTGCACTCAGCTGTGATAAGACACCCTGACTTAATGGCTTTCCCAAGCTCACAGAGGCCAGAAAAACAAGAGGAGCTGGACAAAGACAGTCGGCTGGATGGACAGGGCCAGACAGAAGAGGGTGGAGATCTGTCCCTGGAGCCAACTGCAACAGCACTTGTGACTGGTGCAGGGCTCCACTGTTGGGGTCTGTGACTTTGGGGTTTTCTCCTCTTTAACAGTATTCTACCATAGACTGGGTTTCTCAACCTGGGACTGTTTTGCTTTGGGTTTTATTGCTGTTGCTGGACAGTTCTATATATGTATATAACGCACTTAGTAGTTTTCACACACATACCCTTCCCGCTCTCATTCCCCCATCCAGAACCTTTCTTCTCAGCAAGAGCCCCACCTAGTTCCATGTCTTCATCTGTGTGTGTGGTTCATTGAGTTAATTAGGGCTGTGGTTGATGATTGATTGACTGATTGATTGATTGATTTAAAGTCATGGTGTGTGTGTGTGTGTGTGTGTGTGTGTGTGTGTGTGAGAGAGAGAGAGAGAGAGAGAGAGAGAGAGAGAGAGGGAGAGATCACTTGGAACTGGAGTTAGAGGCAGTTCTGATGTAGGTGCTGGGAATTGAACTCTGGTCTCCTGGAAGAGCAATACACTCTCTTAGCCACTGAACTGTCTGTCTTTTGTGCACCTTGGGCTTTGTTTTTGAGACAGAGTCTCGTGCAGCCCAGACTAGGCTTGAACACACGTGTAGCCAAGAATGACCTTGAACTTCTAATTCGCCCGCTTCCACCTCTGGAAGCGAGAGGACTGCAGACATGTTCCACCATACACAGTTTATTTGGTGCAGAGGACTGAACTCAAAGGTTCCTGTATGCTAGGCAAGCGCTCTGCCATCTGAGCTGCATCCTAACCCCCAACCCCAGGACTGTTGGCCTGTGGGATAGGACTCTTGTCCTTGGCTTGAGCCATGGGCTTTCGGACATTTACCATCCCATCGTCTTTACAGAAGATGCCAGCAGCACCCCAGCCAGTGGGGCAATTCAAAGTGTGTTTGTATTCTCAGTACTTGGGAAGTGGAGCCATGAGGATCAGAAGCTCGAGACCAAGCTCAGCTGTATACTGAGTGCTATATGAAATCCTGTCTCAAGCAAGTAAACAAACAGAAGAGTATCTCATGTAAGTGTCTTAGCAACCATTTAAACATAGTAAGTACATAAAATGTCTTTTCTTTCTTTTTTTTAGATTTTTATTTATTTTTATTCTTTGTGTTTTGCCTGCATGTAAATCTGTGTACCATGTATGTGCCATGCCTACGGAGGCCATAAGAGGGCATCAAATCTCCTGGAACTGGATCGATGGGTGGTTGTGAGCTAACACATGGGTGCTGGGAACAAGACCCAGGTCTTCTGCAAGGGCAGCCAGTGTTCTTAACCTCTAAACCATCTCTCCAGCTTCACCTAGTATGGTTTCTAAAACACTAACCAAAAACAGCTTGGGGAGGAAAGGGTTTCAAGTTTCAAGATTTGGCTTTCAAGTTACAGTCCATCATCAGAGAAGCCAGGCCAGGAACTCAGGGCAGGCACATAAAGGCAGCAACTGAAGCAGAGGCCACGGAGGGATGCTGCTTACTGGCTTGCTTCCCATGGCTTGCTCAGTCTGCTTTCTCATACAGCCTAGGGGTGGCACTGCCCAGAGTAGGCTGGGCCCTCCCCCATCAATCATCAACCAAGAAAAAGCCCTAAAGGCATGCTCACATCTGAGGGAGGCACTTTCTAAATTGAGGTTTCTTTTTCTCCGATGACTCTAGCTTGTGTCAAGTTGACATGCACTTAACCAGGACATCTTGCTGTTAGATGTGCCACTGTCCCTTGGAGAGCCCACACTTGGTTATATCTTATTTTCCATGACTCTTTGAGCACATGCTCTCAGGTGTGTCTTGTCTGTCCTTCTGAGTCCCCTTCTCTTCTAACGCCCACACTTGAACCTATATTAAAATATCTTTAATAACATCTCCAACCAGCTTCATAAACTGGCCAGTCCTGAGATTCTTTTCTGTGTTGAGTGAGAAATCCTGGTTTTGCCTAACTGGGGATCTCTAAAAGCCTGGGAGAACTTCTGCCAGTATCTGAGAGTAACAATGGGGGACTGTGTCTCCTGTGCCCCAGCTGACAATTGCACAGGTCGTGGACCTGCATTATTTCCTTATAGCTGCCTCAGTAACTACCCGCAAACAGGTTCACCCAAGCTAATTGCAGTTGGTGATGGTGGCTCACACCTCGGTACTCAGGAAGCTGAGGTGGGAGAACCAAAAGTTAGAGGCTAGCCTGAACTACATAGAGAGATCATGTCTCAGAACAGAATTTAAGAAACCAAAACGTGGGCTGGAGAGATGGCTCAGCGGTTAAGAG